TCCTGAGGAGGAAGGACATCCCAGCACGCACTCCGGCGCTGACGAGCTCGTTGCGAGAAGCGTGCACACCCTGCAAAAATCTCCAGCAATGTCCAAGCCTTCACCTGAGCCGACTTGGCATCGAGGACATCAAACACCTTGGCATGAGTGAGAAGAGCCTTTTGCACACCCTGTTGAATGGTCCGGCGTTGGCGTCGGTTCAAGGTGTGCTTCCCCACGCCGGCAGCGTACTCCTCCATGCCAACCGTCTCATCCGCTGACAGGCCACCCTCGGGATCCTCAGTCTTATAGTCCGGTGCCACCTGGAGAGCATCCACCATCTCCTCATAGTCTTCAACCTTCTCGCTGAGCACCAGGTCGATCCGGTCTTGTCGGCGTGCCTTCATTTCTGCCGTTTCCAAGCCATCCTGATCTACTGAGCCAGCCATGCCACCTTCGGAGAGTAGCATAGTTGTCGGGCGGACCCCAGATGTCCCCACAAGCTGGCGATGTGGTTGCCGTGCATCTTCATGATCCACCTTGGATTGCGCTTCCAACGGCGCTTCTCGATTTCCACCGCCAGTTTGACTCGTAGCATGAGCAACAGCAGCTTCCATTTGAAGGTGAATGTCTGGGCCCGCAGGCTGATCATCAGGTTCATCGTGGGATCGTCCGAGAACTGGGTCGACAGGGATGGAAAGGGCGCTTCGTCCCCAGTGAGCGCGGCGGTTCTGACCGCCCTGGGTGTCTTCTTCACCTTGTCTTTGGCCGGCACTGGCTCTTTGCTCCGGCCACGATGACGTGCCCCTGCCTCGATCTCTGGCTCTTGTTCCTTGTTCAGGTTCTGTGCCATCAGCTCTTGCATCTTCATCATCATCGCCTGCATCTGAGCCATGTTCATCTGGGTCATGTCCATCTGGGCTGTCGAGCTCGAAGCACCCCGAGTCGGTTCTGTCTCCTTGGTGTCCCGAGCCTTGTTCATCTTGCCCATGGGTTTGCGCCCCGGAGGACTGGGTGATGTCGGGCTCCTCCGCAACATGCGATTCAAAGACTGCCGCTTCACCGTCCTCATCGGCGTTCTCACCTGAGCCAAGCCCGTAGGATCCTCCTCTTGGGCGGACATCTCTTCCAGTTCGTTGTCCTGTCCCACGTGTTCCCATTCCTGCTGGCTGAGCTCGTAGGCTTCCGGCTGCTCGCTCACAGGCTGCCGTCTGCGCTCGGCCATGTGCTTCCGGGAGCGAGTCCGATGGGGTCAGGTCGTCCTGGTCCCAATCCCGAATTGCTGAGCCCCGCGGATCGGACAAAACAACGATCTCCTTGTGGTCTTGCATGACAAAATCCGACGAGATCGATCTCTTCGATATCTCTCCAAAGTCATTTATCGGGATGACATAGTGGCCTCCTCTTGACTGTCCCAGGCCATAGCCCTTCACCCCAAATCGTCTCGAAGAAACGGAGTGAGAAGCCGTATCAATGACCAACCCCAACGCAGAACAGACCGGCTTGGAGAGCAATGGTGGACAAGTACCATGGACTACCGAGATTCGAAGGATGCCGTGAATGCCAGCAAGTGCCACCTCCAACAACACCGCAAACTTGCTCTGGACCACTTGACCATCCCCGAAACGAAATTGTTCTTCCTCGGGGACCACCTTGATGAACCAGTTGTTCTCCTTCCATTCCTTCACGATTCGATTGGTCCATGTAGTCCCGGCCACCGTTCTCATACACCCCAAGTCCAATATCATCTTCGAGTGTTCTTGTCCGGCCAACTCATCAAGAGCCCAAAAAATCTCATGAGTCCCTGCATCATCAGGCCCCCCCCCGCCACTGTGCACCATATACACTCCAGCAGAAGCTAAAGTCTCCAACAAAGCCCAGTCTTCATGCTGTGGCTGTGACGAGGGAAAAGTCACATTTGCAGAATGTACCATCGGCTTCTCTTTGCGACGGTATGGGCACTCTTGGCTCCAATGTCCTAACTGGTGGCAGATGAAGCATGGTTCCTTCTTCTGCTGTTCTGCCACCCACTTCTTCACGTGCTCACTGCGAGCTGCCGCCGGCCCACCAGGTGCATCCTTTTGGAAGTACTGTCTCATCTTCTTGATCTCTCGCACCCGGTTCCTGGCCTTATACTCCTGGGCATAGATCTCTGCCAAGGGTGATGCCGATGGAGGACTCTCTGATGTAGTGGCTGCCACAAAAGCCTCATTTGGCACCCCATTGAACTCTGTCATATCGGCCACTTGATCTGATCGGGCCTCTTCGTCATCCATGGACTCTTCACCCATGAAGTCCAACAACTCTTCGGCCCCCACCTCGCCATCTTCTTCATCTTCCAGGATGGCTACCAGGGCATCCCGAATGCGGCCACGGCGAAAACGACCAAAATTACCTCCACCACGCCCCCGTGGAAAAGGGCGTCGCCGTGGGACATGTTCAGAGGCCGAGGTAGGAGGAGTCGAGGATGTTGAGGCGCCGGGCTTCTGGACCAAATATTGGTCTTCATTGTCCAGTTGAGGCTCACCCCGACCAATAGGACAATGTGGAGCGCCTTCGAACTGTTCCGCCAGTTCAAGCATCGCGGAAATGACCTTAGTCTCGTCTTCGACATCTCCACCACAAGCTGCCTTCAGAAGAGCGAGGTCCTTGCGGGTCAACTTGCAGCTATCCAGCAAGTGTCCAACATAGAAACAGGATCCGACCCTGTAGGCAGGGGATGCCTCATTCTCCCGCCGGTAAATCTCGGCCCGGTTGATGAAGCTCTCAATGCTCTCATTGGCCAACCGAGTCAACTTCATGAACTTCGGCCGACGTTTGTCGATCTTCTTGTTGTCAAGGAGCCTGATTATGGGAGATTTCTCCATCTCAAGTTTGATCAGTTCCACTCCCTGTTCTGAAGTGACCTGCTCAACCGTCAAATGTTGGACAATCTTGCCGGCTCTCTCCCGTAGCTGCTGCATCAACCGCGGGCCCCTCATCTCCACCGGCAGTGACTTGCCTTCTGAAGCCAGCCAGAAGGTCACCGTCCTCCAATACTGCTCCCAACTTTCACCTGGTCGGGCATAGAAAATCGGTGGGTAGGTCGTGGAGATCTTACCCGTAGTTGAACCCTCCTTCAACGAACCACTCATGCCGGCTCCACCTGACCCACCTGCCACAGACGGTTGTCCTGAAGGGATGTTGCCTGTGGGCTTGTTCCATTCACCGGCTGGAGGTGCTGCAGGAGACATGGGCGACACCTCTCCTGGTCTCGCCTCTTCACTGCCATATTGCTGAGGACTCCCATGGCATACCCGAGCACCTTCGCCTTGTTCCGCAGATAGTCCCACTGGCATAGGCCGCCGCGCCGATGACCAGTCACCTGCAGGTACTCCGGCACCTCGTTCATGTCCAGCGTGAAGTGCGCTCGAAGTCCAATCGCGACCGTCCTCAGCACCTCTAGCATGAGGTTCACATTCTTCTCTTGCCGTTCTCCATGAAGTCGATGACCATCCACTGGTACTTGACCTTTCCGAATCAGTCTCCCAATTTCTGGCAGGTCCATCCCGCCAGCCCCAATGATTTGGTCCTGCATTCCCGGACCACTCTGATTCTGAAGACCATGACCAGTGGCTCCCACTATCAGCTTCATGAGAACCGTCCCATTGCGACTGACTCCAACCACCGTCAGCCCAATACACCTGCCGGGTGTCATGTCTCTCATCTCCTCGAACCCACTGCCAAGATCCTTCCGATGCGTCTCGTTGAGAGGCACTCATTGAAGAGCTCGGAGAAGACCAGTTGTCATACTTGGGCTCATAGTTCTCCTGACCGCGCTGCCATGGATCATCATGCAGCCACGGGTCACTCTCTTGGCTTTGGTTCGAGCTCTCACCATCTTGACGTGGACCACTCTCTCTCTCTGTCCCACCGCTCGCTGTCCGCCAGGATCTCGGGGTCCCCGCTTCAGCTGTTTCCCTTCTTGTCGGTGGGCTCGTCATCCGCAGGCTCCGGTGTAATCCACGACGGTGACGATGTAGAAACACCGGCAGCGGCAGCTCCTCCGTCGAAGGCGAGGAGCTCTCCTCTGGCGTCACGGCGCCCAAAGCAGCATCAGCCTCCATGGCTCAAGCCTAGCCTTGCTACGGCCACCTACAGCCCCTTTTCGGGGCTCCGCTACCACTGAAAAAGCACGACGGCCCACCTTTTTCCGAGTGCCGCCTTGGGCCGTGACCGGCTGAAACCGACAATTATATAGCGCGGTGCATTCAGGATGTTTCAAAGCTAGTGAGTGGGCAATTTAGATGTTACCTCCCAGCTGTCGATCCTCCTCCAGGGCCTTCGTTCCAGACGATGTATGTGGGGGAACCGCTGTTTGTGCATTTCGTTTCAGCGGTGTCTGCAGCACCCGGTGGCCTATAGCAATGTACAAGGACTCTTTTGGTAAGTCTTCACCACCCAACGAAGACCATGTCGGAGAATGTGCGAATCCTGCCCTATGCAAAAAGAACTCACGAGGCCAAAAAGTCAATTAGAAAAAATAACCCAAACGCTTAACAGTTAAGTTAGAGTTTTAAACATCCAGCCCAACATGCTCAACAACAAAAGCTCGTCATTGATCCCCCAACCCCCGCCCAAACCCACCCATCTTCCAAAGTGAGTGTGCGTGTGTGCATGCAACTTCATCTTAGATGCACTTGCCATCGAACGTCATTAACCCCCCATCCAACCCACATCTATACGTTGATAATGTTGTACCACCAACGGCAAAACATGTGCAAAACCTTTGCAAAACCACAAAACATGTACTTTGCGGAGTTATAAAGCTCTCACCAGTGGCCCTGCGGGCACTTCTCACTTCTACGCCTCAAATAATGTGCAAAAAAGTACACAAAAAGTGACAGTTGCACGCTCCGAGAGGCACTCCCACCAAAAACATGGCCCACACCCACACCCCAACACTAGCAAACAACTCCAGGGTGTTCTTCAGGATTTGATTGGGTACGTTTCTTATTGTAAACTCTTTGACTCCAAGCTGCTTCGCGACCATGCGCGTGGCGACCTGCTCCTCAGAACCGGGCCGTTTCACAGCTCTGGTCCAAAGTTTTGCAGCTGTCCCTCGGGTTTGAACTAAGGCAAAGATTCTTCAAACTCTTGAATCTGTTTGAGTATGTTTGAGTCATTGTTGAAAGCTTGTCAGCTTTGGCTTAGGTGTTGGTACCCCTCTAGACTCTAGAATCACTCTTCCAGCTATAACTATTTCTAGCTCTGCCAGTATAGCAAGAAAGAGTGCACCTATGCACCTGCCTCCACCCAGTATTTCTACACGGAATGGTCCAATCATGGAAGAAATGCCGCACCACCAAGTTCAATTCCCAAAAAGAAAAACAACAACAAAAGCACCGTGGCTTTCCCAAGGTTCATCCCTTTCCGTCGTCTCTCGATGCCTCCCCTGGGCCACCCCACAGGGGTCTCTTGAAACGCCACCTGATGTGCATCGAAGACCCGCGCGCGCCCCAGGTGCTGACGCCAAACGAGGGTTGCGTAGCTACCTGGACCCGTTCTGGCGAGGAGGCGGTGGCTACGGCGGAGTCCGGTTCACTCCGGGAAAGCGGGAGTGGCACCGGGTCTCCAGTGCCATGAAGAGTCACATTCCTCATCATTCCTCTACCAGGACACCCTAAGGGGTGTCTATTGATAGCCCCTTAGAGGTTAAGGGGTGTCCATTAACTACCCCTTGTGGGTCCTAGTAGTTATCTTTGACTCGTGATGATCTCGCTGATCTTGGATTTGATGTCGAAGCTGCGGAAATAGGTCATCGCAACACCAGGTTAACAGCCCCCAGGAGCATCCCGCGCGTGGACTGTACAACCCCTTCATACGGGAAGTTGACATACCTAGAAGATCCTTTGGGCAGAAATTCTTGCCTTTTTCGGGAAGAGCGGCTCTTCCCGTCCTGGGGCGGAAATCAGCTGTTTGCCGCGGAAATGTTTTTGTTGCCGCGAATATTCCCTTTCAGGAATCCAGTGAGACAAAGACTACATATTCTAGAGGAGTTGAATATTTTTGTGGTTTACATTGGGCATTTCTGCCTGGAACGGTCACCGCAATGAGAAAAAACAATTTGCAGCGCTTAAGTTTCCACCTCCACCTGCAAATCTGGCTACCATCATATCATATATTATGTGTCTTTGTTTTTGAAGGTTTCTTGTGCGGAATGATCACAAAAGGACTAAAATCAGTCCAAAGTTGGAAACACCTGGCGCGAAAATGCCCGGGAAAAAGGCAGAAATACCCGGGAAAGAGGCGGAAATACCCGGGAAAACGGCGGAAATACCCGGGAAACCGGCGGAAATTTCCTGGTAGAAGGCGGGATTCAAGAACAGTGCCTTTGATGCCTTGAAGGGCTTGAACATATGTCGCAGCCTCTTTGTGAATGTCATGAATTTAGAAGTGTCAAAATCGTAGGGTGTCAGATCTTGAGATGTGAAGCTATGCAGAACGATATGTGGTCTGCAATCATGGAAGAGACAACCTGGTAGGTTGTAATGGTTTTTGAGTTGCTATGTTGGATTTTGCTTGAGGCAAAAATTCCCTGCTGCCCGCGGAAATTCCTACCTGGCGCGGATTTCCCCTAAATCCGCGAATCCTCCCGGGCAAATCGGACTGAGGCAGAAATTTCTGCCCCAGGTGCTTCTAGGTATAATCCAAGGGGCATCGAAGGAATATATACCAGCAGTCACAAAGGGGTGCGATCCATGGAGGTTAGGGGTGCCCATTATCCACTCACTTGGGGATCAAACACCACCCCTTTGTGACTCCTGGTAGATGTTCTTTGGGTATGTCTCATTTCCAGGGCCCGGTGGATGATGATGGTGAGGTTGCAGGCCGACATCTGTGATGTTCTCTGTTGCCGACTGTGACAGGTTCTCTGGGACAACTCTATGCAACAACAAGAAAAGCATCCCTCCGAGATCGCTGGGACTGCTCGATGTCCTAGATTGACTTCAAGAGCTGAGTATCGCATCCGACCATTACAGGCTCAAGTAGCCTGAAGTGACGGGATATGCTGAAGGAAAAAAGGGGCAATGGTCCACAAAATAGGATCAAATAGACTACTGCGTGCTATTTATGTTTTGCTTAATGTTTCTAGGCGCTGTCTGTAACTGTTTCTATTATATATATAATTATATAATATATATATATATTTTTTTGTGCATGTGTGTTCTTTCATTGTTGCTTTTTCTTGGTGACTTAGTGGCTTCAAACAACAATTTCGCCCCTGTGTTGCGTCAAGTGTGTGATATATAAGTGACCCTGAGATAGAGAACTGTTTGGCATCGATGGGGATCTGATCAAACCAAGACGTAAGACTGAGTCAACATTTGGGAAGTGATCTACTCAATGATGCTTGGGGGCGTAGATCTCTTGGCTCACATGGATCATGCTAGCTTTTACCAACCAAAGCCCATATGGACCAACCATGACCAACCGGTTCTCTTTGGGTTGGACCGTGCGCGAGGCTTTGACCCACAGTAAAAGGTCCTGTTTGATGTTCGAGAACCTCCCAACATCAGTGCAGGTCCAAAAATCCCAAATGTTCTGAGACTACCTGGCAGGGTGCCAAACCTGCAATTCCTACTCAGGCCAGGCTTCCCACACGTCCATCAAGCTGAGACAGACCGATCCCCTATTCCCACCCCCTCATCCCCACAGAAAGGGACAGCAACTCAGCAACTCATCAGCTACAAGTTGCCTGCGGAAGACAGAGCAGGCTGCGGCCGCATGGGCTGCAACGGAGACAAAGCAACCTGAAGATCTGCCTCGGCGGGTCTGACCCGGAGACTTGGTGAGTGGGCTGCTGATTGGCCAAAGGAACAATCAAGCTTCAACTGGAATCTTTGGAGCTGGTGAACTAAAGCGTTTCTACTAAGCTTTTAGTGGAAAGGCATCCAGTACATGTGCCAGTGCTAATATATTAACATAGAACACCGGATAAACACCGTGGCTCGTCATCATTGCAACACTGTCGCCACGCAGAGCGCCCATCTGTCTCCGTCCTTCCGCTCCCGTCCAAGCTGCAGAAGCTCCGGGATCCTTCAGTTGAACGCTTAAGAATTGCCCCGGCTGCAACAGCTCGCTGCACCTCAAAAACTGTTTTTTCTGCTTACAGAGCGGGCAAACGGGTATCGTAAGACGCGTCACGTAAATGGCCTTAGAAGGGATGCATGAAGAGGAGGACGTACAATCCATTACGATCCAAAAACATCCATGAGACTGAAATATTGGCCATGGATGGCTGGATTGTACTGACAAAGGTCTTGATTGAGGGTCAATGGAAAATTTTCTGCAAATAGTCCCGTGGATGGTCAAAAATCACCGGAGGTCGATCCAGGTCAACATGAGTTTCAAGATCGATGCTGTCGTGTCAAAGACCAAGTCAGTCGGGTTGACTGAAATGATCGTCTCAGGTATACCTGGGGCCAATTTGACCTCTGCTTTGATGAGAAAAACTCTGTGTTTGATGGTTGGTTCAAAATGGAGGTTGCCATTTCACCAGCTGGGCTGGTTCTAGTACTGCAAGGGAAAGCATGTTTAAACTTGTGGCCCAAGGGGGGTGGCGAAAACTAGGGAAAGCAAAGCAGGTTTAAACATTTTTGAACGAAGTCTGAAGGTCATTATCTAGTGGGACTTTTGCAATTCACCAACACCTGGTGGTCAGTCCCCTCTGCAGCTCTGAACCTCGCACTCACTTCCAAGTGGCTATTGTATATGTAATTGTCCACACCGGATTAATCAACCCCCCCTCCCACTTCAAGGTCAAGTCAACATGTTTTGAGATTGGAGGTGTTTGAGACCAAATACCCCCAATATATAAAGGTAATGATTTGATGATGGATGATGAGGTGATGACCTGAACCATGATTGCATATCCCTTTTGCTACTGGATACCGATGTTCAACCCCAATGTTTTAGCTAAATATTGGTTATCTAAAATGCTTTATCAGATAGCTCAGACTGACATTAAATAACACGGATTACCGTCTCAAACATTTATAGTGTGTTTCCAAACTGGCTAATGTTGACAAGTTTGCAAATCTGTCGCTGCCAACCATCTTAATTCGTTTTAACAAAAACCTTTTCAGATGACCTTAAGCCTTAAACAAAACGGGTCAAATAACATGGTTTTTCCATGGTCGAGCACACTCATTTTAGACAGCCGGTGGCAACGGGGATGATTGCAGGATAAATATTCTGGTCGACAAGCCGGTTGCATTTGCCTGCGCTGACTGAAGCAACCTGACGAGCAGCATTCTTGTCAGCTCCAGCCTGCAGCAACAACTCCACCACTTCCAAGTGGCCATTCTGAGCCGCAATTGCGATTGCCACATTCGCGTCAGCCCCAGCCTCGATCAACAGTCGCACCACTTCCAAATGGCCGCGGTCTGCAGCAACGATCAAGGCGGTTGCCCCACTTGTGGCTGCTGCAACAACCGTACCACTTCCAAGTGGCCATTGCCAGCTGCAATACACAAGGCCGTTGCCCCATTTGCCTTGGCTGCATTCTTGTCAGTTCCAGTCTGTCCAGCAACTGCCAGCTGCAGCAAATAAGGCAGGTGCGCTGTCTACGTTGCTTACGCTAAAACGCTCTTTACACTAGTTACGCTGCTTACGCTGATTACACTGGCCACGCTGGTTGCACTGTCTACGCTGTTTACGCTGGTTACGCTGAAACGCTCTTTACGCTAGTTACGTACGCTGTTTACACCGATTACACCGGTTAAGCTGTTTACGCTAGTTGCGCTGTTTACACTGGTTACGCTGAAACGCTCTGCATGCTAGTTACGCTGCTTACGCTGGTTACACTGATTACCATTACTATGATGCATGATGACCATTGAAGCGCTCCCCACTTCCAAGTGGTCATTGAAAGTTGCAGCCATCAAGGCGGTTGCCCCATCTGTGTCCGCTGCATTCTTGTCAGTGCCAGCCTCGAGTAACAATCGCACCACTTCCAACTGGCCATCGCAAGCTGCATGCATCAAGGCATTTACCACATGCTTGTCGGCTGCATTTGTGTCAGCTCCAGCCTCCAGCAACAACTGCGCCACTTCCAACTGGCAAGACAAAACTGCAGCAATCAAGGCAGTTACCCCCATCTGCGTCGGCTGCATTTGTCCAAGCTCCAGCCTCCAGCAACAACTGCACCACTTCCAACTGGCAAGACCAAACTGCAACAATCAAGGCAGTTGCCCCATTTGCTTTGGCTGCATTTGTGTCAGCTCCAGCCTCCAGTAGCAACTGCACCAAATCCAAATGGCCAATGTGTACAGCAACCAAAAATGGAGAAAGGTCACCTGCTGCATTTGCCCCGTTGGGGTCCAGTGGTTTCCGAAGCAAACTTGTGAGTTCAACAGCCCGATTCTCCTCACATGCAAGGAGCAATGCCTCCACAACCTCCTCAGGCGCGCAACATCCAGGATTACCAACTGCAATTTTTGCAGTTGTCTGACAAGCATGTCATCCTGCAACTCGCCCATGTCTTCACTCACAAGTCTGAGTCGGAAATCTTGAGTATCCAACCCGTCCGACCAGGAGCTTCTTCAAGTCCACAACGTGTTTTCCGCTTTCCACCCTCCAACCCAGTTCCTCCTCATGAAGCTGGAGGCCCAGTGGCACCTGAGAGTGTTCTAATCTCCCATTGTTCAAACAGTAGATGATGTGATGGTTCTTGATCAAAAATGGTTTCGCTGCCACACCACCACCTCTCTCTCTCTCTCTTTCTCTATTTCTCTGGCAGCAAGAGTAAACGAAAAACACTGCACCATCCCAGGCGCCGTCTACGCCGTCTACGCCGCCACGTGTTTGGATCTACCGCGCGCGTTGCGGATCGGATCGCATGGCCCGAAGACTTGGTGCCATCCTCTTCAAATCCCTAGAGATCCGTACCTTCACCTCAGGTTTTTTTTGTGATGTGTTCGACACTGTGACATGTCGGTGCCCCAAACGTCGGGTCCCTTTTCGTAGCAACGGCCGGTCACCATGAGCGGGACGGACCAACATCGCCATGGCACGGCGGTCTCGTCGTTAGGTTCAAGTAAGCCCAAAGCTCCTTGCTGTGGCGCGTTCGACGCGACATGGCAAGGCGTTCGACGTGGCAGGCGTTCGGCTGACGGGGTGACTGAACAAACCTCTCTAGACTAGCGAGGGAGAAGGATGGAAGTGTAGGCTGTCAACTTGCAAAACAAGGGATAGCCTGGATAGGCCTGGATAAGTTCAAATTCAGCTAATAATACATTACATGTCATGTTGATACAACGGCCAGCAGCTAGAATTTCTTTAATTTCAGAAACACACATTCATCAACATTTCAGCAACAGCACTTCGTTGACATGGAACTGGCAAACCGCGCTCATATAACTATTATAACTATAGTAACTATATGTAACATCCCCCTTGACTGGGGCAACATCCTGCCAGAACTCCATCTTATAGAGAATACCGTCTATAAAATGATATGACCATCATATTTCTCTATAACATGAAGAACCAACCTTTCTATAACATGGGTAGCCATGTCCAGGCCCATCCACGACAAAGAGGTTAGAGGCCAAGCCCTTGAGTTGATATATATATATATCGTTTGAAGCAGCTGACTTCTATAAAATGACTTTGCCACAGCAGGTTTGGTCAGCGTATGCTTCACTTTTCATGTTTTATCTCTGTCCTTTCTGTTCGTCGCTCCTGCAGTCTTCTTCTTAGAACCATCCATATTTTTGTGTTTTTTTATTGTTAGTTTTTTCTTAACAAAATATAACAAAATGTTCTCCAGTCTGATTTGTCCAGGCTTGCGTCTTCGAGCCAGCGAAACAATATCACTCAAAGCAGGCAACTGTTTTGAGCATTTTTTCTAAGACATCTGTGTAAAACCATATGCCTGAATGAGAGGCATTCATCTGCCGACACGTGTCTCTCTTATAACATGCATTGCCTCTCTCTGTCATGGTCCTTTCCACCAATCCCCCCCTCTACTCTATGAAATGATGTTGCCTCCTCTTATGTCCGTTATCGGAACGGACCATTTCTATAAAGTGAACCTCCTTATCCCATTTCATAGTGGAAACAGATGCTCATTTTATAGAGGACCAATCACGGGGGATTATGTAACTATACTTATTGCCACTGTTTGAAGCGAAGCAACGCAAGGAAAGCGAACATAAAAGGCCCTCAAGCAACTCTCCTGGTGTTCGACTGCCACTTCATCGACTGCGCACATAACCTCTGAGGAATTTTGAGTCTCTTTTCATAGAATGAGTAACGGACTGAGTGAGGTACCCTTGACACATGCAAACAGCAAGAAACATGAAGAATTATTAACATACAGTAAACAAATCCTCTATTGGATCCGACATACCTCCACTCTCATCGCAAAAGATCCAAAAGGTGACAAGTATCACTCGCCCCGTTACATGAAAATTGAATGATCATGAATCATGAACCCTTGAAAGAGTCATTCACTTCCTCTGCAAAATTTAGGGTCTGTGGTGCTCCATCTTGCCACACCTCAGCGTTCCTCGGTGAGCAAAAGCGGACTCCTCCGCGGGCAGCGTCGCAGCAATCGGCGAGAGCTCAAGCTGCAGGTCGTCAGAGTCCCGAGAGCCTGGCTGAAACACTGAAACCAGTACGACATGAAAAAGCCAAGTGAACAAACATTCACGCATGTTGTGGACCAACAGCCAAGCCGTCCCACGATTCCCCTCCTGGCTTGCTGGGGGAAAGAACCTTCATCATCCACTCGTGGCAAGCATGAAAAGAGCTGTAGAGAGCACTGACCCACAGGGACCAACACAACTTGGTTGGATTCATTCTAGTTCGCATGTCTTCGGTGCCTTGCACCGGCGCCTGTGGGCTCCCAGAAGAAGCGTAGGGTGGCCTTGGTCGCCTCCACATGAGTCACTTCGCTGCGGAGATGCTGAGCCTCAGCAGCCATAACCGGAGGCAGGCAAGCAGCTGCAGTCATATTAGTGGTGTTTAAGAAGGAGAGCCGTCAATCATGGGTCATGTCGATAGATTCAGCTTTTTGGTGTCCAAGTGGTAGGACGGGCCGCCGTGTGCATATAGTTATAACAGTTCTAGCCGTATTTAATAGTTCTAGCATGTTCTAGCCGTCTGTTGAACTGCAACTACTATGCCGCTATGCCATGATCCACGATAGAACCCTGAGACGCCAATGCGGCTCCGAGCGTCTGCAATGCCACACAGGCAATACGGAAGAGGCTCGGCATCCATCCAATTCCTCAAGCGACAGGAGGGGCAGCCCCTCCCGAGACTGCCCTCTCTATGAAAAGGAGAAGCTGGGGGCCTCTAGCTGGATTGTCAGGGAGACATTTCATCTGAGGCACCCTACCTCGAAGCTACACCACACTTCAGCCAAGTGAGTCACACATCACACATCACATCGCGAATCCAATGAACAAACGAACATAGTGCTTGATCACGACTCGACAGGTATAGTAGTGACTACATCGCTTCTGCGCATGCAACAGCCCCCCAGGTCCCCCAACTGAACGGAGCAAGCCGCACCTGTTGTCACGTATAAAACTCCTGGAGGTGCCACTTCCCAATTCAGAAGTCGAGCCATTGAGTTAATAGCTTAAACCCTTCAGGAACCCCAAACAACCATTGTACTACGGGTTTTACACTACGATCAACCATGTAAAAAATGGTCTGAGATGGTCTGAGACTTCGGAATTCGCTGTATCATGCTGTATCAATTCCCCACATCCATCCTAGTCGTGCCTTCCAAGGCCTGCCGGGAGCCCACAAAGAGGGTCCGCCGGTGTTTTGCTTCGAAAGCACTTCCCCCAGTCGACCATGGCGACCCCGACCGCGACTGGACCCAACTCGGTCCGATCTGCGGACCCTTGGAGCATCCGAACTAGGTACGCCGAACGCCTGGGCCAGGCGGTGCAGGTGAGAGACCAGGCGGTGCAGACTGGTCAGAGGTGCAGACTGGTCAGAAGAGATACACGCGAGAGGTCCCGACTCACGAACTGAACTGGTCACACCATGAATGAGGGCGCCGAGTCTCCAATCATCCTTCCGACCCTCTTTGGGAGGCCAATCGAGCCTCAGGCGCATCCCGAAATGTCGCGCTGGCGGCCGCTGTTTTGCATGTGGGACAGGACAGGTAGAGTCACCCCAGTCCCTTCAATGTCTTGGAAATGGTTTGGTATGTCTTGCCATGTGCTCACATATATCGTCCTGTACTCTTACTCCTCTCACGGTACCACGCTCACGTCTCCTGTGCAACTCTCTCTGGAGCCAAGCATTTGTCCAAAATACCGTGGCCCCCAAAAAATGTTCTGGGCCAGAAGGCAGTGGTGCATGTCTGCAGTTGGCCGATGACACAAACGTTTGAAATAGTGCTGTCAACCAGGACTCTCCAGTAGTGAAATCCAAACAAAAACGTGTTTCATCTGGTCCTGATCAGGACGTGGCACTTCTTCCCAACCAACCTCCAGTGATGTCTTACCCTCTTTGGGGGGGGGGCACTCTTCACCCTCAGCCCCCGCCAGTGTGCCGCTGTGCCACTCGGGATATCTGCGTGAGTGTGGTGCACGCTGCAGAGCACCGCGGCCTAGGTGGTCTGGACGGAATCCACGTCCAGACCACACCGCGCGACTGGATGCGACTAGTGACTAGGTGGTGAAAGTCAGTACTCATCCACCTGAACATCTTAGAATGATTTGTGCTATCTGCCATCTACTCAAGGTCAAGATCACTGAGGAAGTCAGGTCCCGTGTTGCTTTGGGAGGCTAACAGTCTGAGTGAAAACGTAGTAGTCGGACATCTCCGGACTCTATTTCCTGCTCGAAGCCCCGCTACTGTTAGCAGAAGCTCGGTGCGCCTCTCGGCCAACGAAGCTCGAAGCTGCCGAGCCGACCCCGAAAGAAACGCCCCGTAGCTCGCTGGAGAGCAATGAAGGTGAAGGATCAGGGCCCTACAGTGATCCCCTTTGTGTTCAGGGAAAAATGTCTTGCAAGGGTCTGGAGCAGCGCACGCTCATCATGAGCGTGTTGGGAAAGGACGCCCTGCAAAAGAACACATGACACCAACCGACCGCGATGACCAAATGTTGTTTGCATTGGCCCTCCTTCTGGTGGTGCACAACCTGGAAGTCAAAAGTAGAATCTTAGAACAGCCTCCAGTTTCTGCAGGGCCCTGCTCTTCCCATAATGCTTGGCCCGCCCAAAAACAGCCCCACCCTGAGACAACCTAAACCCACGAAGCGACGCAGCAACCGGTCACATAAGCCACTTCCGCCACCCGCCACCCGCCGAGTCAAGGACCTTGAGTGGGAGCATCTAAGAGCTGCAACGTGAGCTGCTCCCCCTCAGCCGCATCCGGTGCTACGCCGCCGATGCCGCGGTGCGTCTGCTTGGCTCTCCGCTGTTAAGGCCTTCCAAGACACTCGTACCCAATGTTTCTTCCTGAACTATCCTAAACTCCAAAATGGTCTTTACTTGGATCGGCTATGGCTCAAACATGAGATGTGCCGAGCAGGGTGCCCCCAAGAACTTCCTGGTAGATGGGATCATCGGACGCTAAAAAGCTGAAAAACATGTAGGCTGCTGGAGACCCTGGGTCTGAACTTGAGGGGCATCCATTACTTGCAAAATCAGTGCCCTCCAACAGCTGCGCTGCGCCGCTCTGTAGTTGATCTGCGAGCAGCTCCTGGAATCACTCGCACCTGAACTTCATCGCCCTCCTGCAGCCTTGCCGCGGACGACGTAGTCGGATTCGTGTCAACCAGGGCTTTGGAGGGACTTTGAGCTGCCCAGTCCACCCCGCATACAACATAGGCCAACCCCAACTGCACAAAAGTGCAAAGAAAGCTTGAGGTGGTTTTGCTTCAGTGCCGGCTATTAAACAATTTAAGGTATAGTATGGTCTAGCTATTGTCGTACTGTGTGCCGCTTCAACCATTAGCCCTGTACACCCAGTATGCCACATAAGCAAAAAGAACCTGCTTCCACCTGCTTGCAGGCTTGCCGATGGGTGGCAGCCTTAATGAGTCCATGTGGTATTGAGTGGGCAAAATGTGCCCACACCTGACTCTACTTATCTCTTTCATTCAATTCCCATGCCCTCCCAGTGGAGGAGAGCTTGGACCCCAGTCCTCTTTGACTTCACAGTAGGGGAGACCTTCGCTGAGCTTGCCATCAACTGCCACTTCAACTGCCCATCTCCAATGGCCGGTGCCTGGCAATCTTCATCTGTTCAGCCTGCCACTGCTGAGGCAACCGACGGCCGGGACGAGTGGCATCCCAGCACCCGAGCAGGTGATAGAGCCGATAGAACGTACGGCGGTGATATATGATGTAGAAAGTTGGACAGGTCATGTTGCGACATCTAAGATCATTATAAGAGATGCCAGCGGTGCTGCACTAGGAGGCACAAAGGGGAAGGCTCCAAAAGAGGACACCTGAACAGCTTGCGCTTCTAGATCCAGCATGAATCCAATATGATATGCCATGAGCCCCTTCATAACTCACTTCACAAGAGACATAACGCCCGAAAAACATGAGACCCCATGGACCAGTGCAACTGTGGCTGTCATCCGCATTGGGCAGCAGGGTCCCACCTGATATTCTGCCTGCACGGACCTCTTTTGTTTAGCCTTTGCAACACGTTTTCCAAGCACTTACACTGCTTGCATGGCTGAAATCGCTCACTGGCTGGGAAAATCAGTTATCTTGCATATCAAAATTGTCTAAAAGGAATCATTCCGCAAAGAAATTTCAAGGAGAATCACCCACTGTGCAGGGCCCTGCGTCAAAGCCATGCCCTTATGTCCTTGAATTCAATGGCTCTCCGGAACTGGGGATGCGGATGGCTCGGCTGGTTGCTCGGCTCGGCTGGTTCCACCCCTCTCATGGCGCGAAAAGCCTTCAGTCTCCCGCAGAAGGGTGAAAGCTTGCGCTGGCCTGGCACATGTGGCGACTTCCGAGACGATCACTCGGTCGGTTGAAAGGACACTCCTCAAGGAAACTGCATGAACCGACTCCCTCAACCTCCTTGGACCATCAACTGTTTAAGTTCACGGGTCTTCCCATACTAGTACCCACAAGGTCGGCTCGCCGGTCCACAAACTCCGAACTCCAAGACTGTGGGACCCAGTCTCCAGTCGCCCCAGCCACACACACACAGCGTTCGCTGATTTTCAGCCATGCTCTCATCTGAAACGTATGAATTCCATCGTTCGAGGATACATGATGGATACCTGAACAAAATAAATGCGGTTTGATGTGTCGCGCTTCCCATGAAACAGTAGTAGAATGAAAAAACAATGGGAGAGAAAACACATGTGAAACCCATGATTTTGTCTCAATACTTCTGGGCTTGTCTCTTAGTGCTTTTCTCCTCCCACCATCCATCTCCCACCATCCCACCTTCCACCTCCCACACCAGCTGCACCACTGGTGTGGTTCCAGTCTCTCGAACCACGCCACGAAGCACCTGGAGAAGTTCGGCGCTAGTCAAAACTGCCTGAGAATTGCCTGAGAATAGAATGGGGAGTCATACTCCACAAATCAATCAAAAAGAATCAAAAAAAACACCTGAGAATCCGGGCCCTCAAATGGAAAGGGCTTTGAGGGTCCGGACCTGCTATGGAGGGTCCAACCCCCGGAGAGCCCAAGGATTAGTTTGTGTCCTAAATTCAGGGCCGTCAACTACAGGCTTGCTATCCAGAGACATCCAGAAACATAACAGTAGCATATGCGTTTAACATGTTCAGGTATCTAAATGACACATGTATGTTTATGGGGTATCTACCTCTGAAGATAGACTAGACAGAAAAGACTTCACGCATCGACTCGCTTAATTACTTCAGAATGGACTGAAAGTAGAACTTCATGGTGAAGAAAGAAGCTGAACACAGTCGACCGGGAGGATCTGCATCAAAAAAACCCACCAACGGGCACCCGGTGATGCTACTGGTGTTCGGACCAAGTTGTTCAGGTGTTCGGATCCTCACTCTGCACCCAAACAGGCTCTTCCCCCGGTCCTGGCCTGCTTCAAGCTCGGCCTGGAGGGGCCAGGAGCCGGAGCTCCAAGCTGAAACCCTGGAGTTCCTGTGACCTCCAAGCACCTACCTTCGGTAGTTCGTGACCTCCCAACACCCATAGCACCGAAGCGAAACAGCCCCCCCCCAGGTCTCGAAATGGAGAGCCTCAGGTCTAGCGGAAGGGACTCGGAATGCAGCACCACACCGCGAAGGCAAACATGCAGGCAGCGCAGGCAGTGCTTGGTCTCTTCAGTTTCTGCATCAAGCCACTGCCCATCATACAAAATGGGGATGAAAGAGCTTCCAACATCTTCCAACAAATTGTCTGCGGCAGTCTTCGATGGTGCTGGAAGGTGTGGGAAATTGGGGCCTATCGGGCCACTAACATGCCACAACTGGACTTAGACATCTAATTCTACGTCTATGTCTATGTCCACATCATATACATCATACTGTATTCAGTAACATACATTTACAGTTACATTTGTAGACCTCCCGCTACCAGCCTCATCCTCCTTGCAAATAGGGCAACAACACATCATGGCAAGACCTGGACCTGATGGAACATCCAGCGGGTCCATGTGCCCTGTGCCTCGTGCGACTGGCGCTCGCATGCACCTGGCGTGAAGATCGAAGTGATTTAGATAGACCACCCATGTGGAGCTAGAAAAGTAGATCCCAAGTATTGATACGTATTGAACACCGTTTCATAGCGTGTCTATCGATTTGGGGATCACTATGATTAAAGTGGATGGACAAGCTCCCAACAGGTTGTCTATATTTAGTTAAAACATGTACCATCGAACCTCTGAAACCATTGTAAATCCCAGTCGTGGATGATCAACAGCTCACCTGGTCCAAAGTGAGGCCTTGAGCTCGCGGCATCACTCGCATCACGGATGTTGCTTCCCAACATCTACGACTTTGAAGACCACACGACCAAATACCCTATCAAGAGGGAGGAAAAGATCATCGGAAACCATCGATGAACACCAAATCTCCAGGTGAAAAAAATCATCCGCGTGGCCCCCAACCTATCTGGAGCCTGACAACATACCTCAAACAATTCTCACTCCCAGTCCATACCAGTCCGGACCATTCCTGGAATGATGGTCACATACCTACAGAGGTTAAGTGACCTTATAGGACCCTACAGGGGTACCTATAGGATAGTCTATAGGGTTCTTCAACCTCTGCTCACCTTCCTCACATCTCTGCTCCAGCTGAGTCACATGCGCACCTGGCGCCGTCCTCTCTTCGGCCTTTCCGGCTCCGCGCGAGCTCCGGCGCGAAGCCGTCGCCTCGGTCGTGGGTCACGTGTGACGTTCTAAGGATGACGAGGTTTCGAAAGAAGTCAGAGTGGATGGTTGGGATATGTTGTTGCTTTTTTCTCCCTACTTCAGCTATATAAACAGAAGTCTGGATTTTAGATGGCGGGTCCAGCCACTGTCCTGGGCTACAACATTGATGTTCCTCCACAAGCTTTAGTTCTCTTGGAAGGACACGTGTAGGTACTGCCCCAAGCGGCACAAGATGTGATGAACACGGAAGAAAGCAGCAGGTTCGCTTAACTCATCTTCATTCAATATCATTGCGAATAGTTATGATGTTGAGGTGACAATTCAACAAAAAGCGTATCAACATGAGTGCATCTGATATTAGAATCTGCTGCAGGGATGTAGCAATCTAGCTCCCTGGCATCGGAAGCTGGAATTTAAGGGAGGCCCCGTAGGACCCACCAACCCTCAGAATCCACCACCGTCAGACTCACTCACTCACTCACTCTCCAACATGATCTAACCACATCCACCATCACCCAAAACCCAAACTCACCAACTTTCCCCAACGGTTCCGTTGGTGTCCCATCCTGGCCCGGACGCCAACCGCACGCCACCCGCAGGCCCGGACGACTCCATAGGACCGACGGAGCCTGAGCCGCCCGAAGCACCGGTTGTGTGTTTGGGGTGGCGTTCGTGACGTTAGGAGCCTCAGAAGGCCCTGAAGAGGTTAGGGTGTTTGGTGGCCAAGGCTTGATAAAACACATTACCTTGCTAACTTGATAGCCATGCGCCTCCTCCGGTTTTGGATGAAATGATGAAACCAACGGCCGCTGCTCGCGGAATGATTGTCATAAAAGGCTCCCAAAGGAGCAGGCCTCTGCAAAGATCACACCAAGCTCTTCCGGTGACCTCAGATTTTCCTCAAGCTTTCTTGGATCCAAAGCCAGTGAATGAACTGATATGATGTTCAAGCTTTATCCTAAGCGGACCATAATGCAGTCTCATTTGAGTTGTCTGGCACATAGCCAGTGCGATTAAAAACAAACACAACTATAAGAAGACCTATAAGTAACAGGCATCCGGAGGCTTAGGACTTGGGCAGCTGTGCAGTTGTGCAAGCCTTCAATCTCATCGTCAAAGAACAAATATAAACAGGCCGCAGTCCGTATTGAACATCGATATGCAAGAAATTCGCATGACCCCGCGTCAGGGTGAGTTCAATGACTTTCCACGATTCGAAGCAATTGCAAGCAAGTCGCCAGTAACACAAGAAGCAGGGCTAGAAATGGCGCGCACGCAGCACTTCCAGTCTGAGGCACAGGGGCTAATTCACTCCAAACGGCAAGTTGTCTCCATCCTCTCTACGGAGCACCGCAAAAAAACTATGAACTCTTCGGAGATCTGGGCAGGAGTTTCAGTACTCTGGCCATGCCCCAAGAGACTTTGATGCCCAACAAGGCATCCCTGGCGCTCCACAGGTGGCAGCTCCGGTCGGACCGTTTCCCGTGCCTTTGTGGAAGCGCCGGGCGCCGCCATTGCGAGGTACGAACCACCCAGCCGACTTTGGGCCGGGTCAAATCGATGAACACGATGAGCGCCGACTTGGTCGCAATATGTCACGACTGAGTTGACATGGCCGTCCATACGTCACGACGAGTGTCACGAGTGTCCCCTTTCTCCATCGACTTGGCCGACTTGGCCGGGTTGGAAAGCAGCCAAAAGGGTGCAACCGGCGCAACCTCTTCCAATCCAGCTTGTGACTGGAAGCACTTGGTGACTCCAGGGCTTGCCGTTCTGCCGGTGACCCGACCAATTCAACTATAACTCCCTTGAACTCACATGGAAGCCCTGCAAGGGATGACCATTTTCCGAATACCAAACAGAGGGTGAACTCCAGTTCCATGCTAGTTCCAGGGAGTGTAAATTTACTCCTGTCCCAATGCTTAATATCTCAAACCTAGACTTCAGACTTCATGACGAACAGGGAACCGCGCGCCTGGCCGGTGTTTTTCACATGGTTAAGGTTGGATGAATCGTTTGGGCCATCCCCTGTTTGTAAACAAAAATTGTCTTTCCGGTGGTGTATTTTCCCACTTGCATGATTGTTTCACGGAGGGTATTCCCTTTGGACACATGATTCCCATGCTATGCCTTGATAAGCCTTTGGCAGGTTCCCTCAACGCCGATTCTCACACGCGTTCCTTTCGGCCGTTTCTCACACATCCGGATGGCACCTGCGTCGGCCAGCCTGAAGCGCCAGCTGGAAGTCTCTCATGGGGTGGGAGAGGTCCAAGAGCAGGCCAGCCCTTTCTCCAGGTGCTTGAAATCCAAACCACTGAGGACAAGCCTGCAAAAACATGCAAAAACTTACACTCCCTGGAACTAACATGGAAGTGGAGAATGGCCCCGAAAGGAAGACCATTTTCCACTTCCATGTTAGTTCCAGGGGGAGTATGTTTTCACAGCGTCTGGGGGATGGCTGGCAAGGACGGATCGATCCGTCACATCTTCGATTCCACGACCTCTCCGCTGCAAAAATCAGGCCTATCAAAGTGGGCGGGTCTGTTTTCATCGTAGAAGCGGGCACAAAGCTAGCAGCTAGAAGTGGAGAACCCCCGTGGTGTGGAAAGGGAATTGGTTCCGGGGGCGAGTGATCTGCGGTGGCTGCACCTCCCCTCCCGCTCCACTCCAATCGAATCCGCCAGTTTGGCAGAACCCTAAGGGGCTCACAGGCCCGAGCTTGCAGTGTTTGTCCTGGCAAGCAAGGAACAACCCATCCCCAGCACCCCTGGACGTTTTGGATGTTTCTCGTGGCACATCTCGAAGAAAATAACCTATTGGAAGTTGCAGGTTGGATTGTTTACAAGTCTACGACCAAAGGTCCGCGCCTCTCATTCGTGACGTAGTCATGTTCATCGAATCACCGAGCATGGGGTAAATGCACTACCACCGTCCACGCGCGGCGCTTCTCCAACTTATGTGGTATCCAAGGAATCCAAGAGACGAAAGGACCGAATCTGAGGAACAAACGAGTCAAGTATGACAGAAAGAACTCACACAGCTGCATAATCCAAGCCAGCTGCACAAGGTCTGCGTCGCAGTTCCCACACTCGGCCTAAAAAGAAGCGATTGCACTTCTGTCAAAACAAGTGGTGGGTCACCAACAAGAATGTGTATCCGGCAAGGCTATGTGCCTACAAGAAGGACAATGGTTGGAGCACTGTAACAAATGCAATTGGTTGCATCTCCCCCGGCAAAACATGGCAAAACAATAATTGAGTTGAGTTCATAAAATGAGGTACATCTATCCAAAATTATTCTGGTCCGTCTGGCACTTGAAAAACCTTGCTTTGGGGCAACAGCGGCTGTGCGTGCGTACGGCATCTAGCAAACAAATGTCGATCCTATTGTGCTTGCCCAATGAAAACGAGCAAATGGTTGTTGCAGGTGAAATCGATATGAGACTCATGGTTCCGGCACGAACATAGTTGAACGAGAAAGTAGTTCAACTATATGACTTATATGACAAATCATAGCAGGAATTCTGTGGTCATATACAAGTCCGCAACAAAGGAGAACCCTTGGTATAAGAGGTCCTCAAGTAAGCATGTCTCAGCGCAATGACTGCCCCTCATCGAAGCCATTTTGCTCCTCTGCCGTTGCCATTCTCGTGCCGCGTCGCTCGTGCCAAAGGCGGTCCAACTGTGTTTGGGCAGCGCTGCCCAAAGCCTCGTTCTTCAGTGGCCCGCCACTCAGTGGCCCACCGTTACTCTTCACCATTAGTACTAATGGGAACACACCATTCGCTCCGAGAGAGATATCCATAGCTGAAGTCACCGCATCTAAATGCCATGCTTCTGGAGGATGTGAGTTCAAGAGGCTTTGCTCTTGTGCCCTGCTCTCGCTCGCAACGCGTTCTCGCGAATTGAAGGAGGTGTTTTCGACCATGTTCTGTTTAAATCCACGACGCTGCATGATGCACTGTTGGCCAAGAATCCAGCCCCGGGCAGTTACAAAGAATGGTGGTTTCAGCCATGGAATAGCTACCAATATGGCGAAGATGGAGCCTTTCAGTCATGCAAAGTGCCGCTGCAATTTTGTGAGCAATAGAAGTCTCAAAGACTGTCTCAAAGTTATTTAGCCTTCTTGGATTGCCCCAACAGGCTGACTCCCTCAGCTTGGAAAATCAAGCTTAACAGGTCGACATCATTTTTCCACCAGTTCTTTGCAAAACATGGCAAAACCAATGAAGTGGTGCTCAGATGTGCCCAGGTCTGGAAACCGGCCAAAGGCAAATCCTGCGCGGTGAGTCCGTCCTCACCGGAACTCTTTGAGAACACGCTGAGCATCGAAAAGGATCTCCTTCCACCAGGCCTTCCAAACAGGGCGAGCTCGCCGCCAGTATTGACCAAAGCAGTGTTGAAGCAGGTGGTCAAAGGTAAAGTGAAACAAGGCTAGACTAAAAAAGGGTGGGCAAAACATGTAAAAGGAAAAGAAGTTCGACGTACACCGGGTCATCACTCAAGGTACCTTTATATAGAAGAGTTTTTGGTCATATTTCAGGATGACATCAACACGTGAAACAAGACCTCGAAGGCTCCATGTTGAATGTATTTGTCTCTTTTGAAAGCCGTCTCCTTGCAGTCTTTGTGCAATCTCACACGACGAAAAGATTGTGCTTTTGGCATGCTTTTAGCATGTTTACATGCCATAAGTCGTTTAGCTCGCCAGAACTTACCAAGCCTTCTTGTGCAAAGAATTGTAGGCCTTTGGTGAAAGAACAAGGCCGGAGGAAACGACGTCGAAATACATACGTTTAATATCTTTTAACGAATTGGATATAGCAGCGCAGCAGTATGATAAAAATAATGGGCATCTAATCTAAGAAAACAACACGTAGCAAAGCAGCACCATTGATGCACTGCATCAACAATTGTTCAGAACCTGGAAGCAAGGTTCTCATTGAAATCATTCAACCTATAATCATTCTCACATCTATCAGCACCACCCATGTTCTTTCTGCGATGCCCAATTTTCGGTACGAGGGGGCCATCCATCAACCCAAACTGAGGCCACCCAAACACCAGCCGAACTGGGTCCTTTCGGTCACTTCCGAGGCCTATCGGCGGGTGGCAGGCCTCGGCGGGCCCGAGCCCCGAGCACCCCCGCGAAGGCCTGGAGTCGTCGCCGGAAGACTGGGAAGAGGAAACCATCTCGGAGGCCTCGAGAGGGGCGCCGAGATGAAGGTGCAGGCGTTCACAGGACCGGGCCAGCCGGGCCAGCCGGGCTCTCTTCGGAGAGGTCGTGTCAAGGGTCCCAGAAAGAGACAACGACTGAAGCCACCCACTTCCACCGGAACAATTGTTGGACCACACCTTTTCGCAGGGTTAGGGGCCTATTCCTTTTCGAAGGGAGATCAACTCCGAGAGGGAAATTCGCAAATCCCTTTGCTGCCCATGGGAGATGAGTCACTTTGAACGATTTCTTGGATCTTCGACCTTCGAGAAGGGCCCTTGAGAGACCCTTGGAACCCATTTCTTTGGGTCGAGCTGGTCCATCACCAGGGGGCCTGCGAATTCCTGCGGGGTCTGACGGGGGTGTTTGGTGCGTGGACCCCCACTGGAAACTGCCAAAAGCTGCACCAAACAAAAGGATTCAAAAGGCAAGGTTGCTATAGTCACTGGCCTTGGCCTGGGTTATTATACCATATAATGAGATGTGTATATATATATATATCAAATAGAAATATATGTGTATATATAGATACAGAGAGAGAGAGAGAGAGGAATAGCTATATCTTGATTATATAATTGATGATGTTATTTTGTGGCTTTTGTATAGCTATTATGTTAGCAGAAAGATATATACAGTACATAGTTTATCTTCCGATATTTCGCCCATGATCAGTTGACAGAGATGGCTTTTTCCCCTGGGCACTGACCAGAGTTCTTCCTTCCCGCCAGGAAGCTGAGCAATGAATGCCCAAGTCCTGGGTGTCGGCTCAGTGTCGGCTCTTCCAAGTGGGTTGAGAAAGCATTGGCATATTTACCTTCATTGGTGTGGTTGGAGCACATTGCATACATAAAGCACCTGGGAAATGCTGGAGTTTGTGTATGTTCCTGCCCGCTGCGGAACCAATCATGTGTCACAAAGCGCGACACATCAGTGGAATTTATGATGCTCCAAAGCCGAGCTGGGCCAACTGGTCGAATGCCCGCTTGTTGGTGTGGCAGTGAGGGTGCAGCGGGGTGGATGGTTTCTGCAAACGCACCTTCAACATCTTCCAGGGTTTGGGCAAAGCACGACACATCACTAGAATTGATGTTCAAAAGCCCATGGCCAACTGGTTTCAGCCTTCCAAATCTTCCATGTTTTGGGGGATCTATGATCTATGCCCCTTCAAGCTCATGAACTCTGGATGTCCCGATCTCTGCCGCTCGGCACGGCATTTTTCCACTCGGCCATGCATCGCTCAAACCAGAAGCCTCAGGCTGGTCAATAAGAGAGGTCAACGTTCGAGTTTGAGGTCGAAACCGTTGGTCTCATGGACAGAACCCCAACAGTTTGCCTGGAGAAAAGGCTGTGAAGGTTATACAACCTTTGCCACCTGTTCTACTTGAGTGGGGAAACCGGTCCGCTGCGGCAGTAGACACTTCAAGTGGCCAAGACTTGTGGACCGACACTCCGAACACATCACATGGAAGTGGAAACCACCCTATTCCACGCCATCCACTTCCATGTTAATGAGGCGGAGGGTACTGTACCCAAACAAATCACTCGAAGCATGGCGTAGCATGGCGTAGCCCACGTTGGTCCTTGTCTCACTCGAGATCATGCCGAACGTGGGTCGACCGTGTGCTTTCAAAATCGTCTACACCCTGCCTTGCGTTCCATGGTTACGTGGGTGGCGCCTGGCCCCCTTTTTTTTCAAGGCTACTGAGGCTACTGTCTGTCCTTTACACGCAGGGAGCTTTCCACTTCCATGTGATGGCCGCCCAGTGCTTGGGCGCCCTCCAAGTGGCAAGCTTGGGCTTGGCCGCAGTGCTCGCATGAGGTGCATGGCGCTCCGGCGTCCCCTTGGTAGATCCGTTGAACGGACCGATCAGCAGATGGTGGTGCGGGGAGGGTGGCGGGATTCGTGCCAGCAGGCCCTGATCCTCGCCAAAGGCCCAGCCGAGCCCGAAGGCCTCTAGCTTTGGGTAGTGGTAGGGGGTCCGCCCCCAACCGCCGACCACGTTCCACCCTTTTCGTGCAACCTCGCAGGCCTCTGGGCTTTTTTGGTTGCTCTTCTGCTTTTCCTCTTCCATGCAAAGCGCAACAACCACGACCACAACCACAACCACAACCACAACAACAACAACAACCAACAACCACCAACCACCAACCAACAACCAACAACCAACAACAACCACAACCACAACCACAACCACAACAACAACAACAACAACCACAACCACAACCACAATCAACAACAACAACAACAACAACAACAACAACAACAACAACAACAACA